CCCTCCTCTGCAAGGCGAGGATGACAGGTCTCCACACCATCAGAGCTGATGTGCAAGCACAGAGGCTATGTTCGGGATGTCCTGCTTTCCCCGGGAGTGGGAGCTGGCCCAGGAGTGCACCCATGTCCCCGTGCTGTATGTGGTGTGGGTCTGTGAGTGTGTGTGTCGGGGGGAGATGTCCCCTGCTTGTGTGTAGAGGGGGCTTGTGGAGGGAGGTTATCCTGCTGTGTCCCACCCCGGGGTCAGGAGCACATCATGTGCTTTCATACATACACGTGTGAGGGTAACAGGCCAAGGCCCATGTGTGACAGCAAGCTGGGGCCAACTGCCCAGAGGTGGCATGGCACATGCACAAGTTGCTGCATGATCCGTGGTCAGCAGGGCCCACATATGCAGTCCCTGGTCTCCTTCCCATCCTGCCTCCGCATAAGAGGACAGTGATGGCACTCACGTGTTGTTGCCTCCCCGGCCTCGGATGACACTGGTGACAGGCTCGCTGGGACAGCTCAGGGGTCCTGGCTGTGTGGCACGATTCCTCTGGGCTCCTGGCCCTCCTCCTTCATGCCCTGATCAGGGCCCTCTGTGCCAGGTTAATGGCCACCTGGGGGGCATGGACCATCCTGCCCCCCCAGGATGCGGTCCAGGGCATCAAAATAGGGGCAGGTGTCTGGGTCTGCCTGTTTTGGAGCTTTCCCCTGTGGCCCTGACATATGCCTGCCACAGCTCCTTGATTTTCATCCGAACCTGCTCCTGTGTTCAGATGTGGCCTTTGGTGGTCAGGCTGGCAGCCATCCGGCTATAGATGGCCACGTTCCTCTGTCTAGTGCAGAGATCATGGACATTGGAGGCATCCCCCCCCAAACCTCAATGAGGTCCCTGATTGCCGCACTGGACCAGGAAGGTGCCCACCTTTTCTGACCCCTGGGAGCTGGCAGACTGGTCCTGGGGAGCAGTGGAGGGCTGGAAGTGCTGGCTCTGGGCTGGCAGGCCTGGATCTGACACAGGCACTGTGGCCAGACTCTACCCCTTTAAGGGCTCCCGGGGGGTGGGGGGGAAGGAGAGGAGTTTTCCTGGTTGGGGCCAGAGTGGCCAGCAGGGCACCCTGGGAAGGGCTGGAGGCCGCCTATTTTGAAATAGCCCCTATTCCGTGTCTACACAATGCTTATTTCGAAATAGTAATTTCGAAATAGGCGCTATTCCTCGTGAAATGGGGTTTGCCAAATTCAAATAAGCCCTCCACTATTTCATATTAATTTTGAAATAGCAGTTGGCGTGTGTAGATGCTAGTAAAGTTATTTCAAAATAACGGCTGTTATTTCGAAATAACTTTGCTGTGTAGACACACCCTAAGTGTCATTTTTCACCATCTATATTAGTTTCTCTTCATACCAGCGCAGCAAATATGGCAGTGGTAATTGTAATCTTTCATATCCACATCTATAATATAATTATAATTGTGTGTACATTTGGCATAAGGGAAAATCTACTTGTTCTACTCCCCATCACAGTATTGACTCTTTCAGGTGTCATGGTGTCACTTTTTGGATTGAGCATACAATCTCTAGAATGAGTCTGAAACAAGACCCTTTCTGAGGTCACTAGCATATATGAACAGGTGCATCATGTTAAGTTACTCCTACTCTGTGGGTTAGCTGTCACTCTCCCAAAACCTAAATGTATGACAATGACCTTTTAAACTGGATGGCAAAGACCTTGCATAAAAGACATGACACAAAATAGAAGAAAAAGAATCTTGAAATTATGTGGATTGATTTAAAAAAATATATTACTTGTTTTATAATCTCCATTTTAAGGTCAACACAGAAATAAATAGTGAGGCAAAACCAGATTTTTGCAGGACACAGGTAAATCTCAGTCTAAAAGGGAGTGATGTATCTCTTCATCAGATGTATTTGATCAGTCTCCTGCTTCAAGGAAATATTGCAAAGCCCAGGGCATTCTTTCAAGTAGCACTAGCTCCTGCCAAATCTGGCAACCAGCACGACACAGTACTACTCAAACTTTGTGCACAGTTTGACCAACCTCTTTGCTTCTGTTCCCACTGTACCAATAATCTCTCAGAGAAGCTGTCCCATTACACCCAATGTGATCACTAAAAGTGAGGGGACAGTTAGAGTATGTCTACACAGAAGAACTAAAGTCAAATTAAGCTACACAACTTCAGCTATATCAACTGCATAGCTTAAGTCAAAATAGCTTAATTTGGCTTTTGGCGCTGTCTACACAGCAGGAAGTTGAAGGAAGAACAATCTTCCTTCGACTTCCCTTACTCCTCATGAAATGAGGGTTACCGTGAGTTGGGGTAAGAAATCCTCCAGCTCAACACTATTTCAAAATAAAGGCTTGTAGTGTAGACGTGCACTATGTTATTTTGGAATAACATCAGTTATTCCGAAATAATGCTGTGTAGACTTATCCTTAGAGTGATTTAGCAAAAGGCCAAAAAGAACTCAAAAGACCTCTGTCAGAATAGATATACACACACAATGACATGTGTGACATATACCCATGCCAGATATATTCGCTGTACATCTAGTCCCATAATTGGGGAGATCTACTTTAGACTATGTAGACATATAACTACTTTAACACCATATACGAGATACTGGTCATATTTTCCCCCTGTGATTTGGTGGCCCAAAGCAGCTGAAAAAAATCAATTTGACCTGCTACCTGGTCAAACTGACTGGGCACAACAATCTGTACCATCCATATCAGTTCCCACCACAGAAAGCACATTGAAGAAAAAAGCTGCCTGGTCCAAGTACAGCTGCTAGTCTCTGGCAGTCCTGCCTCCTGGAATGGCCCTTTTGAGCCAAGGTGGACATATGTGATTTATAGCAGCCCCGAGGCTTCCCTAAATTGTAACATAGGCCACAACCAACTCTGTTCAGACTAGGATTGGAAGCTACAAAGGTATAAAGCCACTTTGATCTTTCCTCTCAGAGCCTGCATTTGCCAGACCTGAGAGTTAGGGCAAGTGAGCAGAATGAAAATAGTGGGAGACCTCAATATCTTCACAATGCCACATAAATGGTCAGCCTGCTCTGTCAAATGCTATCTCATGATCAATTTGTTTTCTGCATGACTGATACTAAAACTTACCACTTAATGTACACTATGTTGCTAGTGGGACAAAGGCAAAGGCTGAAACCAATGTTGTCTTCTTTTCTAATGTCAAAAATAAAACGCTAAAACCCTTGTAATGAATCATGAAAGAGGATTAAGCTTGTCTACTCACTCTGCTTTTCAGCTACCAATAGGTACTGCTAGACTTTTGTTTAAAAACAAATGTTTTAAAACAACCCACAAACATTTAAACACAAAAACAAGAAGTCTGTTGGTGGGAGGGAATTTAACATAAATGTGGCTTTTAAGTAAACTATAATCTCTTCATTCTGTTAATAAACCGCCCTTCCATCCACTCTAGCATATGGAGAGCAAACAAAACAGATGGGGGATTTCCCTCTGCTGGTTTCTTTCTTATACTGATGGTTGTTTTCAATTCACAAAACTCTCAGCTGTCATCTCTGATTTATTTTCTCCGCAGATTTCTGTTCGGGTTACATTGCTACTGGCTTCGGTGCATTTCTTTCCACACGATTCCCACTCCCCCTGCTTGTGCATAGAGCAGCCAACCAAGATTCATGCCTATTATAATAGCCCCACGCTGCCTTTTGCACGAGTCTCACAATGCCTTGAAGGCTGTGTGGCTCGCATTTGTGTTGGAGCATAAGAAACGTATCGAGGGAAACGTCTTTTTTTTTCGTTTTGTTGTTCGCTTTCAAGCCCCCTCCTCTTCTCTGTCTCTTCCTCTTGGGAGGGGAGGGGGGCGAGGAAGCAATTCGGGATAGAGACCCCGCATGTGTAAGCCTCTCTGTGAATAATGAAATGTTTAAGCCAATCAAGCCAGCCCTTCCGACTGGGCCCGCCCCCTATTTGCTGGCCAGACTCCTCCCGCCCTCCGTCACTCCCCCTCCGGCCCCCGCGTGCCGCTGGATGCAGTGGGAAGGGAGCCAGCCCCGCTCCGCGCGGCGCACACGCGCCAAGGGCGAGGAGATTCCCGGCGATAAACAATAGCCGCCTGCTGAGGTCAGCCCCTGCGGGAGCGCGCCAGCC